GAAATTAATTTTCTGGGTGTAAAAAATGGAATACTCTATTTGACCACTTCCTCTCTCCCCCTTCCTTCTTTTTTCTTTCTTTCCTTCCTTCCTTTCTTTTTTTTAAAATCATTTTATTGGGGGCTCATACAACTCTTATCACAACCCATACACACATCAATTGTGTAAAGCACAGTTGTACATTCGCTAACCTCATCATTCTCAAAACATTTGCTCTCCACATAAACCCCTGGCATCAGCTCCTCATTTTCCCTCCTCCCTCCCCAATGCCCCCTCCCTCATAAACCCTTGATAATTTATAAATTATTATTTTGTCATATCATACACTGTCCAACATCTCCCTTCACCCACTTTTCTGTTTCTTTCCTTCCTTTCAAAATGATTCATTAAATATTTATTTTGGCCTTGTCATTGTTCTAGACACCAGGGATACAGCAGTGAACAAATAATAATAATAATAGTTTTTATTACAGTTATATGGTAGGGGAGGATGATAGTTAATAAAGACCTAAATAATTAACAAAATTACATTTGATTTGATAAGTAAATAGATATGAAGGAAAGGAAAGCTGGATAAGGGTATCTATGTGCAGTGTGTATGTGTATGTACATACATGTGTATCTGAATATATACATGTATACACATTTATGTGTATATAGACATAGACACACACACACACACACACACACACACATATATATATATATGCATGGTCTTTTGCAGAAAAAGTGTGAGAAGGCCTCCCTTGTGAGGGTGTCCTTTAAGCACAGAGCAAATAAAGTGAGATATAAGAACTGTTCAGACAAAAGAAACATTAAGTGCAAAAGTGCTGAAGCAGAAGTGCTTGGTATGTTTGAGGACTAGCGAGACTATCAGAGTTCCAAGAGCCATGTGAGCAAGGTGAGAGCAGGAGATGAAGTCAGAAAGGCTAGCTCATACTCACCATCCGTCCTCAGGGACCAGCAAAAGGTCAAATACATTGTTGTTTGCAGTAGATTTGACTCCAATCATGGTGACCCTGCATGTGAGCAGAACTGCTCCTTTGGACTCTCAAAGTCATGTCCGTCAGAAAGCAGAAGGCCCGTCTTCCAAGGCGCCTCTGGGTGAGTTCAAATCACCAGTTGTTGAGTGCTTATCCCTCTGTGCCACTAGCAGGACTTCTTGGCTGAGGCACAAATGCACAATAAATACTTCTGGAAGAGCATCCCCAAACCTATGTTGTTTTATTAAAGAGAACACAGTAAAGAATATATTTAATTTCTCCGTTTTTTCATCAAACAGTCTAGCATGGCAAATTTGTAAGTCAATTGCCTGACAATAGTTGAGAACATCCCCATCTCTCACACAGAACACTGCCTCCTCCCAGTGCTCCCTTGCCTTGGGGACAAACCGTACTCATTGTTCTCAGGGCCCGCACCACCGTGCTCCCAGAGTCAACGCCTCATGTTCTCATGGTGCAGATAGCAGAGTGACATGGCCCAGAGCAAACAAGGACTGGTGAAGGGGGCACTTTCTAAATAGATGAGATGCCCCCAGCGTATAAAATTTTCAATTTATTATAAATCAGAAATGAAACACATTGCTACAAAATCTAACGGCCTCTTGTTGGACAAGAGTAATTTGGGTCACAATGTCACTCACTCAGGCATTTCGTGTTGCCTTAAGAGCAATTCCAGAGCTAACGTGACATTATAAGGGGCACATTGGTTTTACTCTGGTATTTTTACAAGATATTAAAAAAAATTAGCAAAGTTTTTCAGGTGAAGCAATTTTCAGACAAAGCAGTTCTTTGGGACTGTTTGTATCAAGTGGTATCAAACGGGTACTTGCCTCCAGCTGCTTTTTGGAACGTCAGCTGTGTTCCCAGCCTGCCTTCCCTCTCTTGGCATGTGTCAGCTGCCAAGAAACAGGGCTGATGCCTGGTTTTCTGATCACTTCTGCAGTTTGTGACTTCAGTTAAAAAAAAACCAAATCATTCTACTTACAACTCTAAATGTGTCAGGATTGTCAGACTATTTTTTAAAAAGCCAATCGTTGCTTTTAAAATGCTTATCAGAAGGGGAAATTTCACCTTCGGTGTCTTCTTTCCAGTTCACAAAAAATAAAAACAAAAACTTACAACTGACGTTCCAAAAAGCAGCTGGAGGCAAGTACCCGTTTGATACCACTTGATACAATGCAGTAGGCCTGCATTGCTGGTTGCAGTTAAATCAGAGAGTGCAAATCTTATAGGTCGCAACAGGACATTGCATTTAAATTACCTAACATTAAATCTCAAAAGGCATAGTGTATTAGAGCTTAAATTCTCAGCAATTGGTGTATGGAAGACTGCGATGTTTTATAGTGGGAGGCGACTCCAGTTTGAGTCTCACTATAAACTCAGCCTCCGTGAGCTCTTGTTCATGGACAATGTAAACAGCTGTGTCATCGGGGTAAGTGTGCTTGAAAGTGCCCTCTGGGGACTTGTCTGAGCCTGCCCTTCAGGAAAACTGGGCAGTGTGGTCACAAGTCAAACACCGACCAAGGTGGTCCACGTACAGAGAATCTACCCTGTAAACTTTTCTAATTTTCGCTGTGTCCACATCTCAATCATGGTCCCTTTCCTGATCCTGCTGGCCTTCTTGAATCAGGGATAAACTGTGCTGCCACCAAGCATCATTGGTGATGAATTTCTTTTATTTTCTATCTTCCATAATTAGAGCCAAGGTCATGAATCCCTTTAAGGCTATTATAGCCTTATGGTAATGGTTTCTCTCATCTGGATAATTTGTCTTTGTTCTGCATTAGACTTAATAAAAGGTCTCTATAAGATATATTTAAGTCTGGAGTCATTTTTTTCTACCTAAAAGAATAGGAACTTCAGTAGTCAGGGGGTTTGTGTGGCTAGGTCCCCTTTAGGATCCCTTGTCCCCTGATACATTGGAATTTAACCTGGGGACAGACCTGTTCTTTTTAAGATTTTCCTGTTCACAGTGGGGTTTCCTACTAACCCTGTCTCAAGAGCCCTGGTGGCAGAGTGGGCTTACACTTTGGGCTGCTAACCAAACAGGTAAAGAGTTAGAAACTACTGGTCACTCCCTGGGAGAAAGATGAGGCTTTCTACTCCCATAAAGAGTTAGTCTTGGAAACCCACAGGAGAAGGTCTACCCTGTCCTATAAGGTTGCTAGGAGTCAGAATTGACTCAATGGCAGTGAGCTCAAGTTTGAGGGCCAACTCATTTGAGAAGCTCGCTCAGTAACCTTGATCCTATTTCTTTACTTGGGTAGGTTTATGAAAAGACTCTCACAGCGGTGAAGGTCCCACTAACATTCTTTGATGATCCTGCTCCAAAGACATTCTCAGCCACCTTTCTCAAAACAAACATTAATTCAACTAAGTTGGCCCACAGTGTTTTGGTTAGCCTGGAATTGTAGGTTCCTGAGACATGGGATTTTCCACGATAAACCCCAGAAAGTTCAATGCAATGCAGACAAACTGGTTACTCTCAATTAAACCACTAGAGAGTGTGGGGTGGTTGTTGCTTAGAAGCTATGGACGTGCTTGCTTCGGCGGCACATATACTAAAATTGGAACGATACAGAGAAGATTAGCATGGCCCCTGCGCAAGGATGACACGCAAATTCGTGAAGCGTTCCATAATAAAAAATAAAAAAAAAGAAGCTATGGACATTGAGGCTTGACGGAGCTACAATGCATCTTGTTACCACACAAGGGATAAGAAGTTCTTGTATAGGAATTCAAGGTACATTCTGATAAAGGTATTATTTTTCCATTATCAGTATATCTACTAACCATTCCTCTTTAGAAAAACAGGGATAATACTTGTGTCCACTTTTCAGGTAAAAAATAACCTTTTAGAAAAATGAATACAATACCAGCAGATAGTGTTTGCTTCTACTGCACATAGAGAGGACTGCTATGAGTCAGAACCTACCCAACAGCACCTAACAGTAGTCCCAAGGAGATCCAGATTCAAGAGGCCCTAAATGTCCAACTCTTCACACACTACACCACTCCGTAATTCTTGAACCAACAAACCACCTCTCCTCCCTTTCTTCGTGGCCCGGGGTTCTGAAAGTCCTGCAACATCGCATAGATTTCACATCCGATGAAGGAAATGGTTCATGTAGCTGTAGGCAGCCGTGCAATACATTCAACCGATTCACCCCAGTTCGGCAGAACCGATATCTAATTTCCTGTTCAGTTTGGAGACCCAGTGGTTAAAATGGCCCTTTTCATCAGGGTTCTCTCTAAGGTGGGCAGCTGTCCCGCACAAAGTGTAAATGACAAATTTACATTCCTTACTCCTTTTTAATGTTCATCTGTGCATCAGCGGTGTTCTGATATCATGTTGAAATAATAAACTCCCTTTTAGCATATCATCTTTTTATACTTAAAGTGGTCATTAAGGCAGCAAGTCAGTTGTTAAATTATTTGAATGCCACCACTGGCTGTAGGTGCTGTTAAGTCCTAAATACAAAATTCAGACGTTTGTCTCGTGGATGCTCCATATCCACAATGCTTCAGAAGTTGGTGAAATCCAGTCACGTGATAGGCTACAATTCAAGTCCCAAGATCCAGAGATCAGGCAGAGGTAAATTAGGTGCAGTATCCCAAGCCAAAGCAAAGAGTCTGAAAGTCAAAACAAGGCTCCTTGCTTCTGAGCACTCTCCGTAGGAAAAGTGTCTGTATGTGGGGGTGAAGTGGGGTGGGGTGGGAGGAGAGCATAAAACATGGCTCTATGGAGGTGTGGTGTTTGTCCTCTGCAGATCAAACACCAAGGAAATAAAGGGTGGTGACTGGAGTCACATCCTCTATTAAGGTGGGTACTGAAAATATACCCCACCATAATTCTGTCTCCTCAGCACAACAGATAACTCCCTCCAAATTGGAATTACAATCACAGCTCTACACAGGCTAGGACTTGCAATACATCACACAAGGGAAAACTATGGTACGAAGGGGCCTATTAAGTAATTAACAACATCTCATATAGCCAAACTCTGCAATTTGTTAAAACAAATAAGACAGCTTTACGTGAACTGGCATGGAAAGGTCCCCAGGGCATACTGTTGTAGAACAATACAGATCACATAATCCTAATGTGGTAGTTACATAATCTGGTGTCCATTTGAGACTATTAAGAGTGAACGGGTGGAGTTTAGCCTGTCAATCAGGTCTCAGCTTGATGACCTCATTTGGAGGCGCTACAAAGATAAATAGCAGACTGGAGACCAGATACATACACTCTCCCTGACATACATTCCTGTAGACTCGCCACATGGAACTAAGTGGATGGCAGCCAGAGCCCTAGAGCTGGAGGAACCGTGTGGAGACTCACACCAGCGCTGAGATGCTTCCCCTGCCACTGGGTCCACAAGACTTTCCACCGAATGGCCTGTGATCTCCCTGCATCTGGCATCATTGCATGTGCTGCGTGAATCAGAAGAGAAATGTATAGATTGGCATTGAACATATGGGCTAATATTGGACTTATGGACTTGATCTGGACTGGGCTGGGATGTTTTCCTAATCTACAATTATTCTTTGATATAAAGTTCTCTATTACACATATATGAGTGACTCTGGATTTGTTTCTCTAGTCAACCCAGACTGACACACCTAAAAAGCAAATAAACCAATCACACACAGAGAAATCGATCACAAAGATGCGTTTCTATTGGGATTGGAGGAAAGCTCCTTAACACAATATGCAGGTGCCACGTCTTGTTGAACATGAAAAGGACGTAAAGCACTTAAACTGATGAAGACAACAGTACGAATTACACATCAGCATGAAAATAAAAATACTCACAATTGGACCAAAAAACAGCATTATGAGAAACAGGAAAGATTAACGTTGTTAAGGACTTCATTTTACTTGAATCCATAATCAACAGCCTTGGAAGCAGCAGTCAAGAAAGCAAATGACATATTGTATTGGGCAATTCTGCTGCACATAATTTCTTTAAAGTGTTAAAAAAAACAAAACAAAGTTATCCCTTTGAGAACTAAGGTGTGTTTGCTACAAGCCATGGTATTTTCAGTCACGTTATACACACGCAAAAGCTGAATAATGAATAAGGAAGAGTGAAGGATTGATGCACTTGAATTACAATGTTGAAGAATACTGCATGTACCATAGATCGCCATAAGCATGAACAAATCTGGTGGGAGTAGAGCAGAATGCTCCTTAGAAGCAAGGATGGTGAGACATACATGTCAGATGGAGCCAATCCCTGGTGGAGGACATTATGCTTGCTAAAGCAGAGTCAGCAAAAAAGAAGACTCAAAAGCAATCGATTAATAATGGGCTCAAACAGCGAAGATTGTGTAGATGGCATATAACCTGGCAGTGTTTGGGGAAGTATTTGATAGCAGTGAGTTTGGTTTTGGTTTATACTGGGTGGATTATTTAAAGCATATGAATGCACAGATAAGATCTGAAAAGATATTGTTGTTGTTGTTGTTGTTGTTGTTGTTGTTGTTGTTGTTGACGATGGATGTCTTAAGTTAGTTCCCACTCACAGGGACCCGGTATGATAGAACAAAACACTGCATTGTCCTGCATCATCCTAACAATTGTTCTTATGTTTGAGCCCATTGTTGTAGCCACTGGGCCAACTCACCTTGTTGAGGGCTTTCCTCTTTGACCTTTTCCAGGGACTGATCTCTCCTGCCATGCCCAAAGTCTGCAAGGTGAAGTTTTACCAACCTTGCCTCTAAGGAGCATTCTGGCTGAACTTCACAACAGATCTGTCTGTTCTTTAGCAGTCCGTGGGACTCTCACTATTCTCCCCCAGCACGACAATTCAAATGCATCAATTCTCCCTAGGTCTTCTTCACTCAATGCTTCACATGCAGATGAGACAACTAAAAATCCCTAGGGTTTACCTCTAGACAGTGAAGCTGCTTGGGAATGGGATGAAGAGAAGACTTGCTTCTTGTGGCAATATTATGTGCTTTCTAAAAGTTTTACAGAGTTGTCATTAATGTATCATTAATATTTTTTAAATTAAGTACTAAAATAGGTGTAGGAAAGAACTCTACTCAAAAATTGTT